AGCTGAGGGGATAAACCCGTAATTCTGAGGGGACCTTGAGGCCCGTCACAGTGTCCACCACAGTAAGGAAACACGGCAGGGCTCATAGGAGGAGTGGGCTCGGGGAGGCGATGAGTGCTGTTGGGACACTCTGAGTTTGAGGTGTCTGAGGGATGGGCAGGTGGGTATCCACTGGACAGTGGGTGTATAGGTCTGGTGCTCTGGAGGAAGGTCAAGGTCAGAAATACGGAATCAGCAAAAACATAAAAGTGGAGTGGAAGTCAGAGGGCTCGATGGGGCAGGTGGAGTCAGAGAGATGGAACCTGAGCTGATTCACTGGCAGCTGGTCCTCAGAGGGTCCTCGAAAGAGGAGGCATCTGGGTAAGATCAGCAAAAAGCAGGGAATTCCCAACCCGATTGCAGCTCTCGGAGATGAGCGAGAGCCCTGATCGCACACAACCTGATGGAGCTCTGAGTGGCTGATGTGCAAATCCAATGGAAACATGGACTGCATGCTGCGGATTAGCACGGCCCCGGGGATGGGGATGCTCACAGGGGAGGGTCTCCCTCCATCTCCCACACCCTCCCTCCTCCTTCCCCCTCTACCAGTCCTTTACTCTGAGGCCTCTCAGCCCCTCTCTCCCCTTCTGTCTTTTCCTTCTCTGTCCAGTTCTCTCTCCTTCCCTCCCTCTGCCCATTAGAGGGCAGCAGCTCACTCTGAGCCTTTGCTGTGCTCTGCCCTCTAGTGTGTGTGTGTGTGTGTGTGTGTGTGTTGTGTGATGGTGGTGATGGTGGTGGTGGTGGTGGTGGTGATGGGTGAGGGGTGTTTGAGGGGGACAAACACCAAGAATACCTCGGGCCCTCGGGGCTCCTCACCCAAGAGTCAGGCCAGTACTTGCAGGGCTTACGTGGTGGGAAACGCATGTTCAGTAGAGATGGCAGGGACTGCTTCTTCTTTGCCTGCTTTGCACAGAGACAGAGTGACCAGCTGGATCTGCCTTGAATACGGGGACAGACGGGCCAGGACCTAGTCAAGGTCTCTGAATGGGTAATTCCTTTCCTCTGGGTCCACAGAGCCACAGCAGTTGGGGCTGGGTCTTATTCCCGCCATTTGTGTCCCAGGGTTTTCTTTTCTTTTTTTAAATATGTTTTATTGATTATTCACAGAGAGGAAGGGACTGGGATAGAGAGTTAGAAACATCGATGAGAGAGAAACATCGATCAGCTGCCTCCTGCACACCCCCAACTGGGGATGTGACTGCAACCAAGGTACATGCCCTTGACCGGAATCGAACCTGGGACCTTTCAGTCCACAGGCCAACGCTCTATCCACTGAGCCAAATCGGTTAGGGCCCAGGGTTTTCTTAAAAGGATTTTTCCTGGAAATAACAGGTTTCAACGTTGCCAGAGTGTCAGAGGCCCAGTGCTGGTCCCAGGTTGTTCCAGTCTACCTCCCCTGGAAGCCCCCCGAAGGCCTGGCCACCTGGGTGTGAGTCCCCAGGGGCTCCTGAAAGGCTCCTTGTGACCGACCACAAGTCAGCCACATGGTCAGGCCAAGAAAGACTACGTTTTTCTAAGTGAAGGGGGAAAAAAATGAAATAACCTGGTTGGGGAGGGGGCATGCTGGGTTAAACCCCTACAACAGCAGCTTAGGGACCGAAGTGCTTGCCTGGAGTCAGGTCCCAGCTGAAACCCCTGCCTTCTCTCCCTACTTCTCCCCAAACATAGGCACATAGACCAGCTTCAGAGCTTCGGTCACGTAAGGGGCTGCCTCGGCTCCTCTGGGCTCAGAGAGCAGCCCTGGTCAAGGGGAGGTCTGAGGAGCCAGGCCTAGGAGTGCTGGGATTTCAGTACCCCCAGACAGGGCATGTCAGCTACCCTGTGCCTGTGGAGGCAGCACAGGGATGTCATATGAGGTGGCTCTGCTTTGGAGGACCCCTTCCCCACAGGCAGTTGGGATCCTAGCTGAAGGCTGCACTATGTCGGCTTCTGGAAGGCCTCCTGGAGTTGCTAACTGAAGCCCATAGAACCTCAGAGTCTCCAGGTCTCCCCACCCAGGAAAACCCTGCGGTGAGCCCTTCCCCACTCTACTTCCACTCGTCCCCTTCTTCCTTCCAATTCCTGCTGCTCCCAGCTCCTCAACCTGGCATTTAGGGTCCTCCTCTTTAGACACCCTGCTTGGCAAGATGAATCATTTAAAAAAAAAATCTTTATGCCCTGGCCAGAGCATCATCCTGATATACCAAGGTTGCCGATTCGATCCCCAGTCAGGGCACCTAACAATCAGCCAATGAATGCGGAAATAAGTGGGACAACAAGTCAGTGTTTCCTTCTCTCTCTCTTGTGGGAAACTGCCTATTGTCTTCTCTAGCAGAGAGGTGTGGACAAGGAGCCCGGAATGCTGGTGACCCTTGAAGCCCTGGCAAAGGTCAGGGCTATGCACCCACTGTTTAGTGGAGACAATGGTGGCTGAAGCAACTTCCCCACCAGATAGTCATGTAAATCCTTACTGATAAGATAGTCTGTCTGTTATTGGAACTTGCCTGCCTAAGGCCTATAGGTGTATCCCAAACTCAATAAAAGGATGGCAGGGCCTGAGCCCAAGCAGAGTCCATCCTCTTGGGATGGGTTCTCGCCTGGCCCCCCAAAGTTCCAAATTATCTCTTGTCCTGAACCCTGAACCACGTGGGACGTGGGGGAACATACACACTCTCTCTTTCTCTCTCCCCCTTCTTTTCTCTCTAAAACCAACAAATAGATTTTTAAAGAAGTATTTATAAAACCTCACCGTCCTTATGTTCTCATAATGTTCCTCAGGTCACAGGTATCCCCACATCTGTGTGGTGAAGAATTAAACCTGGCCCACAGAGAGGTCTGGCCCTTGCCCTCAGCTTCTGAGAAGTAATCTCTATGTCCGTGGAATGCCATGCTTGGTCACAGCACCTGTGTTTGCCTGGGAGCCTTGGACCCGCCTGAGAATAGTAATGTCATTTTGGATGGCAGCTGTGGGTCACGGAATACCAGCTCGACCTCCTGATGGAAACTGAGGTTAGCCACATGAGCAGTCAACCCTGTCTGTGTGATGGGGCTTCCAGGCTCCTGACTCCACAGGGAGAGAACTGGAAGCCTTGGGTTTGGAGCGCTCTTGGATTCTGCCCCATGTCCTTCCTTTCTTGGCTGATTTTATATCCTTGGTTGGTCTGTAGCCTTGATATGAAAATAGCAGCTTTTGGTGAGTTCTATGCATCCTTTTAGCAAATTATTGAACATAATGGTCTTGGGAACCCCCAAACTTGCCATTGGTGTTAGAGATGAGTGTGGTTGTATGAACAGTTTTATTTATTTATTTATTTATTTGATTTGAGAGAGAGAGAGAGAAGGAGAGAGAGAGAGAGAGAGAGAGAGAGAGAGAGAGGCGTTGATTTGTTGTTCCACCTATTCATGCATTCATTAGTTGCTTCTTGTATGTGCCCTGACCAGGGAATCAAACCTGCAACCTTGGCTTATCGGGACGGCATTCTAACTAACTGAGCTACCCGGCAAGGCTTGTGACCTCCTCTCAGGCAGTGTGTCTGGCTAGCGTTCATAGCGCCCACCAGCAACAGTCCCTGGAGAAGAAGAGATTTGACAGCTGAGGGTCTTAGCTGCTGCCAGGAAGGCAGCTGATTTCTCCCTGAACCTCCAGGATACTCCTCTTCCTTATCTTCTTCCCCTTTAATGTTCTGTCTACTTATTTTTCTTACCTACTTCTCTGCCCTCTTTTCTCTCTTCCTATTGGGTACGAATCTGGAAGCACCTCCTTCTGAATCTTGGAGGACTCCCTCGCAGGAATGTTCTGAAGAAGATGGCTCTACATTTTCTGAGCCTGGGCCCAGTAGGCTTTTGGGCAGCAAGGGGAGGGGACAGGATGGACACCCCAGGAGCCAGTGACGGCGAAGCCCCTGGCCTCTGTCAAGAGCTTTCTTGACTCAAGTAGCCCATAGGGCTGGCTTGAGCTAGGTCTGTCTGTTTGGGAGACTGCAAGTAGCTTTTTGCTCACTTTTTACCTTAAATGCCAGTGAGTTCCACTGCCTTTTCTATAAAACAAAACTAGTACAGGCTTTATAATGCAAAAATTTTAAAGTCTAAGGGAGGATCAATAAAAAAGTTATACACTATATTCTGAAGTGAACATTATTCACAGGTTAATGCAACTGTTAAGTGAAACATACAATATATAAATACAATCATCAGACACATAGGTATTTACATATATGTGAATCTGGGGAACTAATGGAACTCTCAGCCAGATAATAATGGCTAACATTTAAGGAAAGCTTATTATGTCATACGCTGTTTTAGCTTTCTTGAATGGGCTATGCTACTTAATCCTTAGAGCAAACCCTACCTGGTGGGTATTGTAATGGACAGATACGTAGCGTGACGTTCAGAGACCTTGTCCCAGGTCACACAACGATGAAGGACTAGAGCTGGGCTTCGAATGCAGGCATCCACTCCAGACCCTGTGCTCTTACGCACCTGCCCCTTTCCGCTAGCGGAACAAGCTTTGCCCTGCGCTATTTGGACCCTCTTTTTCCACCATCTCAGTTCTTCGGAGTAGGGCTGGTGCAGTGAAACTTGGGGAAATAAGGACTTCAGTGCTTGTCTGATGAAAGAGTTGTCGAGATTCTTAGGCTTGTACGTGCCATTGCTCAGCAATCAGATTTTTGGTACAGAGCACTCATCTAGCTGTTATTGCTGTGGAATTGGCCAACAGGGATTTCTGCTAGATCCCCCCTTTCCTCCCTTTCCTGGGCTTCATTGACAAACAGCTTCTGCAGATGCCTGTCCTGGGCTCTGGGTTGGACGGGGGCGGGTAGATCATTGAAGGCTCAGAACCTTCTACACGCCATGCTCTGGCTCTCTGGCCTCGGGCCAAGACTCCTCAGGCGCTATAATCATTAACTGCTGCAGGACAGGTACACAGGCATCAGAGTATCTGCTTCTGTTCGAGTGCACACGGCGACTTCTGAGGTTCTGAGATGGAGAGAAGTCGGGAGAGAGATGGCGGCGAGGGGGTGGCCGGGCAGGAGCGGGGTGCTGGGAGGCTGAGGCTGAGGAGGGAGATCGGCCTGTGGAGCGGCGTGTCCCTGATCGTCGGCAGTATGGTCGGCTCTGGCATCTTCATGTCACCACAGGGGATCTTGGTCTACATGGGCAGCCCCGGGGCCAGCCTCGTGGTCTGGGCCGCCTGTGGCCTCCTGGCCACTCTGAGTGCCCTGTGCTTCGCTGAGCTCGGGGCCCTGGTTCCCGAATCCGGGGGGGAGTATGCTTACATCCTGCACACCTTTGGCTCCTTGCCAGCCTTCCTGGTCATCTACACGTTCGTGCTGGTGAGCCGGCCAGCCTCCATCGCTGCCATCTCTCTGAGCTTCGCCGAGTATGCAGTGGCCCCCTTTTACCCCGGCTGCTCCTCCCTGCCCCAGGCGGTGCTCAAGAGCATGGCGGTCGCTTGCATCCTGCTGCTGCTGGTGGTGAACGGCTGGAGCTCGAAGCTGGCCACCCAGCTGAACGACGTGTGCACGGCTGCCAAAGTGTTCTCCTTGCTGGTCATCGTGGTGGGCGGCGTGGTGGTGCTGGGCCAGGGCCGAGGCCGCACCGAAGCCCTCCTGGCCGCCTTCCACAACACGACGCAGCAGACCGGGCGCATCAGCATGGCCTTCTACCAGGGCCTGTGGTCCTTCGACGGCTGGAATACACTCAACTATGTGTTGGAGGAGCTCAAGAACCCACAAGTGAGTCCATGACACTGCTTTGGGGGGCGAAGTCTCTGAGCATCAGCAGTTTCAGTGATTGTCCTTCGAGCTAAAACCATGAAAAATTGGCTGAAAACAGGGGCGCCCTTCCTAGGCTCATGGGAATAGAATGCCAGCCACTGTCCACTCTGATTAGTTTATGGAATTATAGAAATAATGACGTCTCAAGGAAGCAGAGGACTTCACAGCATCATCCCCAGGGTCTCATATTGCTGCCCTGCGAGGTAGGCATTATCATCCCATTTTTCATGTGGGAAAACTGAGGCTTAGAATGGAGGCGTGATGTTGAGGTCATAGGGCTAGCAGGAGGCCATGGGTGATGGCTCAGTTTGATATCTCTTGGGCTGTTCTCTCTGTAACATAGTTGTACACACTTAATTCACACTTGCCATGGGAGCCACCATAGGACACAGCGGCGTGGTTTGGGACAGGAGTGTGTGCCAGTCCTGCCTGGCTCACCCATCTGAGAACCGTGGGCTGGTTAGTCATTGCCTGGTGGGGGGTGGGTCTGCAGCCCCCCCGCCCCCCCCCCGGGAAGCATTTGGAACACTTGGAGTCTTCAGGTGGTGGGGGAGCTGAGGCTACACATACATTTGCCTAGGATGCTATATGTTTTCTTGTTCCCCTGCAGGAGTTTTAAGTTCTTACAGGATGAAACGGCCAGTCATTCCCTTTCTGTCCTAGATTGGCTTTAGGGCCCTGAGGGCTGTCAGCTCTCAGCAAAGACCCCCTGGATAGGGGTTTGGGAGACGCCGTGAGGAGTCATAAGTAAATAAATGGCTGCATCCCAGTACAAGTTTATTTATAAAAGCAAGCAGCAGGCTGGCTTTGGTCCATGGGATTTGAGTGCAAGATTCAGGTACTTGAGAATGAAACCAGAAAAATCTCTCTGTTCTTGTGTCTTCGCCAGAAACCTGTCCGTGGCCCAACTGTAGGGCTCTGTAGCTGTCACAGCTCCTTAGCTGGCGGGTGGGCTGTCCGAGCTGAGTCAAGTTCAGAAGCACAGCATCTGACGCGGCATGGGGCTGGGTCAGGCATGGTGGGCGCTCACCCGCTGAGGGCAGGCACCCTGCTAGGAGGCCCACAGGAGGGGGAACCCAGGACTCTGCCTCATAGGGCCCAGGCAGAGCCATATTTCCAGGACTGGGATCATGAGGAACTAGATGCTATGTCACACTGTGGCTGGGGCAAGTTCTTTGCCCTCAGATTCTCAGGTTTTAGAACTAGAAAGGAGATGGGAGGACCCATCTCATATGAGAATTTATTGTTATCTTATTTGTGTCACTTTCACAAGTTTTCCATGTGACCTGCTAGGTTGGGTGACCTACCATCCTGGTTGCTCAGGACGGAGGGATCCCCAGGGATGCTGGACTTTCAGTGCTAAAAGCTGGAAATTCCCAAGTGAACTGGGATGAGTTGGCCACCCTATCTGGCCCCTGCCCTTAGGACAGGGCAGGGCAGGACAGAGGCTTGGATACAATAAAGCAGATGTGCTTGTTGGGGCTCTGCCGCCACTTGCTGCTGGAGTTCAGGAAAGGAGACCACTATGAGGCAGAGCAATCTAGTGGGCTTCCTGGAAGAGGCGGACTGATGCGTTTTGTGGTTAAACAGCTATATGGAAGCAGTAGGAATCTGAACCCAGAGGCCAGAAAGAACAGGACGTTTGTGTCTGAAGGAAAAATGGGGGGAGTGGGGTGTGAGGACAGGCTCTGAGAGGCTACTTCGTCCTCAGTGCCCCGTGTCCTTCCTCCCCCTCCAGATCCAAAGTTTTCTGTGAGCAGATCTCCTCCTGGCAGAAAGCTCTGGAAATTGCTTTTCACGTTATATTGAAGAATGGAAGATACACTATGCAAGGGGAGATGCTGAATTGGGGGAGGGCCCTACCTAGGGGAGGAGAGGAGGTCTGCCTGCCCCCACAGTGACAGACAGCTCTGTGCCAGTCTGACTGAGAGCTCCCTGCGTCTTGGCAAAGAAAGGCCTCCTCTGGTTCTGCTTCATGTCACATTGTAAGTGTCAGTAACATGTCCTGGGTGCCGCTTGGTGCCGAGGGGAAGGCTCTGGCTCATCAGTGCTTGCCTGCCAAGGTGACCCAGGGTGAGCTCGGTACCTTTACTGGGTGACGGGGGTCCGCTGGGCACCGAGGCTTCAGCTGTGCAAACTGGTCCCAGTGCCACTGCCCCTGTTTCCAGGGCCCTTCTCCCCTTCCTCTTTGCTGCCCCTCACGCCTGGCAGAGAGGCAGACAGCGGGAAGTCCCATTGACAGATCCCCAATGATCCCCAATTTCCAGTTGAGGAGAATGAGGGTCAGAGGAGAACCCCTGAGTGTAATGGCCCTCAGCCTGGGTCTGAGTCCTGGGGTCCCCGGCCCCCAGCAGGGCTGGCCTGGGGGTCCTGGAATATTCCAGCTGAAGTGCTCAGTGAACAGCTGACGATGTGACCTTTACCTGTCTGGTCTCTTCCCTGTACCTCTGCTCTGTGGTTGCCCCTGGTAGGAGTCCCTCCCCTTCCACCTGCCTGAACCTCCCCCAATCTTCAAGGAGAGCCCAGTGGAAGGCCCTGCTCGCTCCAGACGTTTTGGTGATGGCTCCTCTCCCCTCCCCACCCCTGCTGGCCGCTCCGTGCCTCCACTGCTCTGACTGGTTAGGGCCCCTCCCCGCCGCCCAGTGCATCTGCCTGTGTGTGTGTCCATGCGGTGGGCCTCTGAGCTCAGGGAGGAGGGGCGCGTGGCCTGCGTGGCCCCAGGCCCTGGCACCTGCCCTGCAGCCGGGATGAGCTCAGTGCTGTGCCCAGGGGCCTGGGAAGGACCTCACGGGCTAACATATGGCCTCCTCTCTCCGACTGCACAGCAGAACCTGGTGTGGGCGCTGATGATCGCCATTCCCCTGGTCACGGGCCTGTACATCCTGGTCAACATCAGTTACCTGCTAGTGTTGTCACCCAACGAAATCCTCTCCACTGACGCTGTGGCTGTGAGCTGGGGGTGAGTTTCATGTTCCTAGGCCGCCAGGCGGACCCCAGGGTGGGGAAGGATAGTGCCCCATGGGTGTTAAACTTTCTGTGCCCAACTGGCGTGGCTCAGTGGTTGAGCGTCAACCTATGAACCAGGAGGTCAAGGTTCGATTCCCAGTCAGGGCTCAATCCCCAGTGGGGGTGAAGGTGGGGGAGGGGGCATGCAGGAGGCAGCCAATCAATGATTCTCATCATTTGATGTTTCTATCTCTCTCTCTCTCTCTCTCCCTTTCTCTCTGAAAATCAATAAAATATATATCTCTCTATATAAAAGCCTAAGCGACCATTACGACGGAATGGCCGGAATGACCAGATGACCAGCCAGTAGCTATGACGTGCACTGACCCAGACCTTGCTGCTGGGGCCCTGACAGCCCTGAATCTGGGTTCACCCACCCCCCTGCCCCGTGCACGAATTTGTGCACTGGGCCTCTAGTATTATAGAAAAGAATTAAAAGAAACTTATTCCAACATCTTGCTTTCTCAGTTTTCAGATGGGGCCTGTGACAGTCTTCCTGCTGTTGCTCGAGTTCTTCCCCCTGACCCCTCTGTCATCCTAGGAACCAGGTTCTGGGGGCCTGGGCCTGGCTGGTGCCTTTGGCTGTGGCACTCTCAACATTTGGCTCTGCCCATGGAACATTCTTCAGCGGAAGCCGTGTGTGCTACGTGGCTGCAAGAGAAGGCCACATGGTGAGAGAGGGGGTCTGGGAAGGACTGCAAGCTAAGCTTCCTCCTGCTGGGAGCCTAGCATATAGCCCGAAGCAGGACTTACTCCCTAGACACAGCCCTCTTCCTCTGAGAATGGGGCTCAATGCATCTGCATCGGAATTCGAGTCCCTTTCCTTCAGGCTTTGGAGGCTCACCGTGCTGGGTCACAGGATGGAGCTACTGTGTACCCTCCGGGCCACTCCTCTGGGGTCCTCGCTGACACTCTGTTAGCTTTGCTGCAATCATGCTGAATAACAGACAGCCCCCGCATCTCAAAGGCTTACAACCACAAACGGTTCATGTTGCCGTGGGTTGATGGATCAGGCTGGGCTTGTGTTTGGACCTTCTCATTCCAAATGTGAGTCCTGGGGCATGTCTTGCCATAGCATGTGGCAGGGGCTCAAGAGACCAAGCCAATCACATGAGCACATGTAGAGTCTCTACTCCTGCTCATACTTCATTGGCCAAGCCCAACATCAACGGGTGGGAAACTGTATTTCTTCCCCAGAAGTGGGGAGATGGAGACCGAGTGCTTGCTGAACAATAAAACAGTCTACCAACAATAACCCACCATCCCGCTCCATGCTCCAGGCACACTTGTCCTGCCCTCTCCTCCATCCTTCTCCATCTCTCCCCAAACCCACCTCTGTCCCTCTTCCTGTCCTGGGGTGAGCAGTAGAAAGTCAAAAGACCTGCCTCAGCCTCCACCCCCCAGCCCCACATACTAAGCTATTTGGGTCTTGGCTGGTCTGTGGGGACAGGCCCCTCCAACCTGCACCCTGAGCCTGGTCACCCCTGGTGAGCCACAGGCCCACATCTGGAAGCCGTGGGAACTGGGGACGGTTAGGTTGGGCACACTGGTGTCCAGAGTGAGTGTGGCAGGGAAGAGGACGGGCAGCTTCCCCAGGCAGACGTCCACTGTGGCTCCCCTGGGGAGTGCCTGACACCTGGCTTTGCTCCCCAGCCCGGACTTCTGTCCATGGTTCACACCCGTCGCCTCACACCGACTCCGGCTCTGGTGTTCACCACGGCAGTGACTTTGGTCCTGGTCATCTCAGGGAACTTCAGCAACATCGTGAACTTCTTCAGGCAAGTGAGACGGTCCTGCCAGGCTGAGTATCTCGTGGGCCCTATGTGCACACACTCATACTTGTACCTATGCACATAAATATATATATGCACACGCTGGAAGTCCCGTGTGTGTGTGTGTGTGTGTGTGTGTGTGTGTGTGTGTGTGTAATCTCCACTATATGTATCCACACATACACTCACACACTTCTGGGAGCCCAGGCACACACATTTCAGCCATTCTCCTCCAGTTATGTTTCCAAAATGAAATGTGGCTCTCTCTTCTCGTGCTCTGTTTGCAAAAATTCAATGAAACAGATGAACCAGGAGGTCGAGAGAGAGGCAAGTTAAAGGCTTGTGTCGTCTTTCTCACTTTGACTTGTATTGCTGTTCCTCTATTCTGTCACTAAGATACTGCGAAAGGATATTCAGGCTTTATTCACACGATCGCAGCCCTTGGTTCTGTGCTTTCTCCTTTGGAGTCCGGTCTGCGTCCTGGACTCTGACCCAACATGTCTCTGTTGAACTCAGGGCAGACCCACAGGCAAGCACAATGATTGCAGCAAAGTGGGGAGATGATCTGACCCCCTTTCTCACCTTCCCTGGGCAGAGAGGATGGGCTGTGGTGCTATCCAGTTGTAATTTTGTAGCCTCATTGGAAGCTGGTTTCTGGGCAGGTCTGCATGCCCAAGGAGTTCTCAGGGTAATTTTCCAAGCACCACATGTCCCTCCTTTTGTTGTCATAAGTATAATGCATCTTCGGGAACAGGATATGCAGTGCCTGATGTGACTTTCTTCAGAACATTAAGTAACAGACCTGGTTTTTCTTTCTTTTTTTTTTTCCCTGCAAGAAAAAATGAAATCATTCTATGGTGAGAATAAAATCAAATCTATGGTGACTATAGCGGGTCTTCGGACTGAGATTGGGGAGTGTGACTGAGAATGTCCCAGCCCAGAGTGAGAACGCTAGGAATTCATTGCATCTCAGCGAGGACCCAACATCTTGGTCTTGACCGCCTCAAGGGATGGCCTGATCTGGACCCTGCCTCCAAGGCTAGATGGGTTTTCATCAGACCGACACCAGCCACTCAATGACCTACACGGGAAAGCAGAAGCCAGGATTTGCTGGGTGGGGGGATCGGCTACGAGGGTGCTGGTCCCTGAGAAGCACACAGGTTTCCTTGAGATGCCATCAGACTCGCTTTTTTTTGGAAAACACAGACACGCCTCCCTCCCCGTGAAAGTTGTCCTCCTCTGTTCAGCCAGGGGCAGTCAGAGGCTTGATCAGGAACCACGTGGTGAGGTGGTGCCCTTTGTGCCAGAAGGTGAAGGAGGCGGAATGGGCTAATGTTGACCCTCCAGGGCATCCTGGTCCTCGGTGCCCCCACCTTGCCTTCTGTCCTCGTCTTCATGGATCAGGGGAACTGGAGGTGGCTGCAAGGCCCTGGATGAGCTTGTACTTCTGCCCCAGGTTTGTACCTAGGAGGCCAGCCTATGACAGAGCCTGGTAGTGAGTGACTCAAGTCTGCCTTTCAGCTTCCTTGCCTGGGTCACCTACGGAACTACCATCAGCTGTCTCCTGTACTTGCGGATGAAGAAGAAGAACCTACCCAGGCCTTACAAGGTAGACGTTGGGGTACAATTGGGCTTTTTCAACCCTAAGCTGTTGTGTGAGGCTGGTTGTTGAACCACAGCCTCTGTCAGGACCCAGAGGAAGAAGGTAAGGGGTGGCCACTGTCATTTCTGGTAGAGAATTTCTCTATTTCCTGGGGTGGGGGGTGAGGGACATCTGACTCACACAGCATTGGTTCTGCTCGCTGGGGATTCACTTCTCCCATGGAGGACCCCACGGGAGAACAGTGGGAGACCAGTGCAGGAGGAGGCACGCACACAGCTGGATTCACAGGGCACAGAGAGGACTGGGCGAGTCCCAAAGCTTCTGCTCCCTGGAGGACCCTCTGTAGCCCAGCAGGTGGCTCCCCTGGCCAGGCAAGGTATCATATCCGGGCAGGGACTGGAGGGGAGGAGCTGGTGGCAGGTGGAAGCAACAGGAAGGCAGGCAGGAGGCACAGAGCCCAGGGACCACATACCGCCTCCTGCGCACCTCTCACCATCCAGGGCTCTGCCCATTGCAGGTCCCCATCATCGTCCCTGTCGTCGTGCTCCTTGCTTCTCTCTACCTGGTGCTGGCACCCATCATTGACCACCCGCAGATCGAGTTCCTCTACATCTTCCTGTTCCTGCTCAGCGGATTCCTGGTCTACTTCCCTTTTGTTTACTTCCAGCACCAGCCCAAGTGTCTGCAGACAGCCACCTTGCATCTCCAGCTGCTCCTGGAAGTTGCTCCAGCCACTAAAAATGTTGACTAATCAACCAAAAGACTTGTATGCAAGCATATAAGCATAACCAAAGGACACAGACAGTAGGGGGGTGGGACATGTGCGGGGGTGAGGGGAGTAGCTGGGGAGAGGTCAATGGTGGAAAAAGAAGACATGTAATACTTTCAACAATAAAGAATTTAAATTTAAAAAAATTGACTGATGGACTGGGCAGGTCTGCTCTGTCCTCTTTACTGCAGATGACTCTGCCCTCACACGAGTGGCCTGGCCAGCCTCTGTAGGTGGACTGCGCATGATTCTAACAAGCTCCTAAAGTGCCTGGACACGGTGTTGTGGAGTTTTGGGTTAAGCACCCAGCACAGCATCCCCCTCTCCCTCTTCTCCCCTCTCCTGCGCTTTCTCTGAGAACCGCTCCTTCAGCCCAGGACCTCACAGCTACACCGAATGTAAGAGTAAACAGCATCTTTAGAGCTAGTTTCCCATTAGTGGCGGTCAGATCAGCATTTCACCTATGCCAGCTGATCTGGTCAGAGATGAAAAGGCAGAGAAACACTAGATCAGTGGTTCTCAACCTTGGCTGCACATTAGAATCACCTGGGAATCTTTAAAATCCTGATTTCTGGGCCTCATCCTCCAGAAATTCTGTTTCTTTGTTACTAATGTTGTGGCCCCACCCCATAATCAAGAAACAGAATTTCCGGAAGATGAGGGCCAGAAATCAGGATTTTAAAAAGATTCCCAGGTGATTCTAATGTGCAGCCAAGGTTGAGAACCACTGACTTAGATCGTGAGACACCAATGGGGTGGAAAGAGCTGCTCAGCAGAGAAGGACACCCGGCTTTAGCCTCGCTCTCGGCTTCTCACTGACACAGGCCTGTCCCACAGGCCCTGGGGGTTGAGTGAGGGACAGAGGAGGCGGGACCAGCCTGAGTTACTGCCTTTGTGTGGGGGCCCTGCTGCAGGAGCCCCATCTCTGTGTGAGATGCATTGATCCTGGTGCACTCACCACTGTTAATCATCACAGCCCAGGGCGTGGACTCTTGAGTGTGAGCCTCAAACTGGGGAGATTCCAGCCCGTCTCTATGGGCAACCAGTTCGTTCTAAAGGCCGCATCACCCAGCTTCATGCTCCAACACTGGGCCGTCCCCCTGGCTGGCCTGTTCTGGGGCCTCATGGGGGCTGACTGGGAGGCTCAGGGAGGAGGGGTGGGGTCAAGTGAGGGCCCTTTGGCTCGGAGAATGGGGGGCCCTGAGTGAGCCCTGGGGCTTGAGTGCACTGCAGCCTTGGAGAGGAGATGGTGCTCCTGAAGGTGGATCTGGCTCCTTGTGCTGAGGGAACCCAGGGTGAGAGCGGCTCTCCAGGGGGCCTGGGGGGTGGGCAGCAGCAGGTGTGAGGGGCGTGGATGGATCTGAGGCCACAGCAAGGGAGGGCTGGCCTGCTTCCTGGTTGTGGGTGAGGAGGCGAAGTCAGCCATGACTCAGAGTCCGAGGCCAGCTGACCTAGTGTTCATGTTGGGGTTCATGGAAATAGAGCAGAGGGGAGGAGGGGCGCTAGAGGAAGGGGGCATTTTACTGTGTCCAGTTGGAAACGCTGCGGGACTTTCCTGTGGCGATAATCAGGGGGGTTTGCCTATCTGCAGCTCAAACACCATCAAGGCTGAGATGCATACACAGGAGTCACGGGGAAACAGGAGCCTTGGAAGTGAATCCGAGCGTTGAGGACAGTTTTCCATGCCGGGACTAAGCTGTTCAAGGGAGTGACCCACCTCACTGAAATCCGCCAGGCCTGCTTTCCCACTGTCCCCACCCACCACACGTGCACGTGTGCTCACTTCCTGCTGCATCCGGTCACAACACTCACCCCCAGGCGGCAGCATGAGGAGTGCGCCGCACAGGGGAGCCCTTGAAGAACTGTCCTCTAACGTGGGGGTGGGGCCTGGTCAGAGGACAGCCAGCTCCTTGGTCGTGTGGGGCACATTCACCACCTCCTGTCCCCAGGCCACCTCCGCTCCTGACCCACCACACTCAGAGTCTTGGCCCTGGGTCTGGCCTGGGTGGTGTCTCAACAAACCGCCAGTGCTTGGAAGGCTGCGGGCTGTTTGGGGGCTTTGTTTCCCTGCCTTGCACCGAGTTCCCCTGGGCCCAGGCCCTGCCTGCTGGGACCCGCTGCCCAGGGCCTGGGGTCTTATTTTTTAACGGCTCTGGGGCTGGCTCCTGTCCCCAGCTGCCCGTTTCTGGTACTAAGTGATGGACATGAAGGCCATCTAAACACTTGACCTTGCCTGTTGACCCCTGGAAACCTTTCTGAGTCTACCTGCCCACTGGTAGCTGAGGGAACCCTTGCATAGGAAATTGACTCTTATACGTGCTAGCCGGAGGAGGCAGGCAGGGGCAGTATCCTCTTGTTATTTCTCAGAAGGCAAACTGAGATTTGGAGCAGCCAAGTGATTTGCCAAGCGGCAAGTGAGTGGCAGAGCTGGCGAAGCAGCCAGTGGCTTCCCGTGGGCCAGCGTTGTTTATTTTTCTGTCCTGTGCTCCCACGTGGCCCGGTGGGCGGGGGGGTCTCAGCCCCACACCTCCCTCAGTTCTAGTCCCTCACTATCTCAGGACCCCGGGCTCAGGAATCTACACCCAGCATCCACTTCTGGGGACCTTGATGGCTTGTAGGGAAGCTCCTCCTCTTGCCAAACCAGATTGGGGGTTGTGTCTGGTCTGGGCCCTGGCCCCGGGAGGGGGTGGGGTACAGGCATCTCCTCTGGCCTGGGGGCTGGAAAACTGGAGGCACCTGTGGGTTGGGAGCTTGGAGATTCAGCTTAGGGTTGTCAAACGCCAGCATCAGCTACAGATCTGAATCCTCGTTTAGGATCTTCTTAACCATGGTAAGGGCAGGGGTGGGGGAGGGAACTTCCTGTTTACTGCTGGCTGGTCTGGGGGAGACACCCTTCTGTGGTTACTGTGAACCCTGACATCTCCCACTCTCCCCTGAGGCTGACTCATACCCTCGCCCTTTCAGGGTTAGAAGACTGTGCCCCCTGCAGCCCAGGGTTGCTCCTCTCCGCGGCCGGGCCTGGAAGCAGCCTACGGTAACAGCAGCCCACCTGGTGCCGTCTCACCTGCCCATGACTTGGGTGGCACCCCATTTCACAAAGAAAGAAGCTAGGATTGCAAACGTTAGCAAAAACTAAAAGAGAGGATGCTAGTGAGGTTTGAACTTCAGGTAAACAACTGTAAAAATATTTTCATTGATTTCAGAGAGGAAGGGAGAGGAAGAGAGAGATAGAAACATCAATGATGAGAGAGAATCATTGATTGGCTGCCTCCTGCATGCCCTCTACTGGGGATCGAGCCTACAACCCGGGCATGTACTTTGATCGGGACTCAAAACGTGACCTCCTGGTTCATAGGTCGATGCTCAACCACTGAGCTACCTGGGCCGGGCAACAACTTTTTTTAGTGAAAGTATGTGCTATGATTTATCTTGAACTCTAAAGAAGCTCAAGTCCAGGGAAGTGGAGGGGCCGGAGAGGCTGCTGTGATTGGCAGGGAAGACCTGAGGACCAGGAGCACCCATGTCCCGGGGCAGGAGAAGGCGAGGGTCTCAGCTCAAGGAAAGAGCAAATTCGCCCTCCTCCACCTTTCTGTCCCATGTAGACCCTCCCTCCACAGACCAGATGATGTCACACTTGTGAGGGTGATCTTCTCTCAGCCCACTGAGTCAAATGCTAATCTCCTCTGGAAACACCCTCAAAGACACACCCAGAAATAATATATTTACCAGCTGTGTGGGCATCCGCTAGCCCAGTCCAGTTCACACGTAACTAAAACCAGCCATCACTGCCCTAACCGGCTTGGCTCAGTGGATAGAGCGGCCTGCGGACTCAGGGGTCCCAGGTTTGATTCCGGTCAAGGGCATGTACCTTGGTTACGGGCACATCACCAGTAGGGGGCGTGCAGGAGGCAGCTGATCGATGTTTCTCTCTCATCGATGTTTCTAACTTCTCTCTATCCCTCTCCCTTCCTCTCTGTAAAAAATCAATAAAATATATTTAAAAAAAAAATAAAACCAGCCATCACAGCCCCCATTATCATGGTCTACTCCTCGGTACTCTAGTAAAATCTTCTAAAAGGTTTTATTGCCTAGTTGGAGGCACCTAGTATTCTTTGTTGGTTTTATCTCACACTGTGGAGCATTTTTGAACAGGTCTCTGCACCTCTCTGTGCCTCAGTTTCCTCATCTGTAAGACAAGGAGGTTAGTCTTGCTTCATAGGAAGTTGTAAGTATGAAATAAGAAAGTGTTTGGCATGCTTCACGAATAAGCTCCATTAACTTTAAACTTTATAAAAGAAAGGCAGAAAAAAAGAGAAGTGTTTAGCAAACATCTGAGGACTTGAGCACCTGGCGGGGGCATGTAGACTCCCTTCTGGTGGCATCGGAGGGTGGGAAAGGCTGGCTGGGCTGTGCCCGGCCCAGACAATGGACCACATGAGAGGGTGGGGGCGGGGGGCACCCTGGCTGCAGCCATATGATCTGCTTGACTCTATGGTGTTGGAGGTAAAGATGCCACGCAGAGTCTGTGGCCAGTCCCTGTGGGAGAAACACAATGCAGACCTTGGGTTCTGGAGCGAGGCCATGCCCTCTGGGTAGAGAACTAAATGTCTTTTTGAAAAACTACTTCTGCATACTTCTGGGTCCTGGGACAGACAGTACCTCTGAGTACAGGACACCAAGTGACCGTGCAGCTGGAATTACCCTTCAGGACCCGAGTCCTGTCAGAACGACCACATGGGAAGGTTGAGTGGGCCCAGCCACAATCCACAGTGAGATGGGAGGGGTGCATCTCTGAGCGTGAGTGGGACCAGAAGGCACAGCAAGCAGGAAGCCCAGAAACCCTATGGCACCCACCACAATCACATCCATGCCCTGCCCCCATGCTCATGGCTGTAGGGAGGATCTGAAACGACCAGCTGATGAAAGAGGAAAAACCCAAGCTGGCTTTTGTGGGTAGGTTCCCTTGGTTACATGGGAATCTC